CCACTCTGACTTCTAATTAAAACCATTACTTTCGAAGTTATGTTAAACCCCAAAAGACTGTTTTAAGAAAGTCCTACAGTTTAACTTTTGAAATGCTACATTGAGCATACACTGAAAGATCCTCCTGGTTCCCCATCCAGGTTGCAGGAAGGTCCTCTGGGTGGAGCGGAGCCTGCAATTCCACCAGCGGTAGGTAGGAGCTCCTGGCAGGGATGGGGAGGGGCTGCTAGCATTGCTCTCGCTAACCACAATCATTTGGGGACTGGCTAGCTCAAACAGGCCAAGTTTGCACTGTGATAATAATATACACATTTGATTAGCTGGTTAATGTTTGGATACTTAGAGCAGTGAGTCTCAATGAGAAGAGATTTTTGTTCCCAGGACACATTTGGCAGGCATGAAGCACTTTTAACTGTCACAAACAGAGAGAGCCTTCTTGCCTCTGCTAGCTGGTGGCCAGGCATCGTGCTAAACCCTTCACTACACATGGCAGTTCCCAGTTCCAGCTTCCAACACACGCAACACAGAGTTGTCTGGCTCAAGAGGTTAAGAAACCCTGACAGAAAGCTAGGCTGGGTGGTGTATCCCAGGGCTCGAGATACTGAGATGAGGATTGCTTCAAGTTCAGGGGCCAGTTTGGCTATACAAAGAGGTCAAGGCTAGCCTGACTACATCACAAGACTTTGTCTCAAAAAGGAGAAAAATAAACTGGGTGTGGTGGCTCACACCTTCAATCCCAGCAGTTGGTTCTTGGGAGGCAGAGTAGGTGGGTCTCTGAGTTCCAGTCCAGACTGCTCTATAGAGTGATTTCCAGGACAACCAGGGCTACACAGAGAAATCCTGTCTTGAAAAACAAAAACAAAACAAAACAAAACAAAAAAAAAAAGGAAAAGAACTAAATGAAACCCTGATGTATAAGAACATAGACTAATTCAGTTGCCCAGTCTTGGGTTCCAGAACCTTGATTCTAGCTATTATTTTGAGGTTTTCATGTGCTAAACACCAAGGCTTCATTGGGCTGACTTGCTTAATGGCCACAACAACCCTACCTTCTAGCCTTGATTTTATGAACGGAGGTTTATAGATATTGGAAATGATCATTGTACTTGAATCTGGCAGGGCTGCAATTGAAACCCAGGCAGCAAGAGTTCAGAGTCTACAGTTGAGCAGCAGGTAAATTTCTCTCATATGTGAATCAATAGATGATCGCAGCTCATGCCCACAAGGCAACGCTAGTTCCCGAGGAAAGTTCCTGGTACAGTATGACCTGAGTATCTTCCAAGCTGGCCACCTTGTAGACCAGACACATCCCCACTTCTCACGGTTGGTCTGATTGTGAGGATAAAGGCTACGTGCCACTGAACAGCGACTCTTCCATGACGGACTGAGTGACTGGGCAAACATGCCCACACGTTAGCAGCACGGCCTCCTGTTTTAGCCCAGGTGCTCAGACATGGTCATTTGTACACCATGACCCCACCAAACCAGAAGGTCACAGCATTGTCCCCTTCAGAATGAAGCATGGGGACTGAGACCTAATCGGTCAACCAGTGTAGCTACCACCTCCTCAAAGCCAGGAGATGAAGGACAGAAAATCACAAGTGAAACCCAGTGAGCATATTTTGGCTTGGGACATATTTCTGTGAGGGAGAGAGGAGACAGGGCCACAGAAAGAATGCTTCTGGGAACTGAGCAGTGTGGTGTGTGTGGCTGGAACACCACAACAGCTGGGCTTTCTTCAACTTAAAAAGCTGCTCAGTCCCTTGTGAGCACCTGTCAAGATAAGCCTCAGTACAGAATATGAGATTTATATTATAAAAAAAGGGTGTTGTGGGATATTTGTACTCTGTGTGAAGTTGTGTTTGCTGTGATTGATGTAATAAGAAGCAAAATGGCCAATAGCTAGGCAGGAGAGATAGGAGGGACTTAGGAACAGAGAGAGGAAGAGGAGGATCTATGAGCAGAGGAGATGCCAGAGGATGCAAAGAAATAGGAGGTACAAGATGGAAGAGAGGTAACACAACATGATAGAGCATAGATTAATATAAATGGTTAATTAAAGTTATAAGAGCTAGTTAGGGAACAAGCATAAGCTGTAAGCCGAGCTTTCATAATTCATAAGAAGTCTTTGTGCGGTTTTTGTGAACTAGAGACCAAAGGAAAATCCATCCACAACAAGGCGCCTTGCCTGACTTGCTCACTGGCTCATGCCTGACATTCAACCCCGCAGTTTGAAAGAGCAAACAAACACGCAGATAAGCAGTGCTTGTGGTCAGGGAGAAAGCTGTGATTCCTTCAGGGACTGGGGGATTTGGACCTCAGAAGATGCTGAGAAGGTTTCAAAACCTCAGGACGCAGTAAATACTTGGCTGTGGAGGTGGATGAGGTAGGCACTTGAACTTCTGCGACCCACTGTTTGTACAGTACAATCTGCAGGTACAAGAACAGGGGATATATAACTGTGCTGTGTCTGGCCTTGACCTCTTTCTGAATCCTTCAACCTGTCTTGTGGCTGTGACCCATCGCTTACATCTGTGGGCTGTGGATGCAAGAACAGGGGACAGCTGCCCTGTGTTTGTGGCCCACTGTTGACATACCGTCATCTACAGGTGAGGACACAGAGCGGGCAACTGTCCTGCAGCTGTGTGTGTTCCTAGCCCTGGTTTACGCTTGACTCCCTCCCAAGTCCAAATGAAACATTTGGGACAATGAGACAAGGGACAATGAGCAGAAATAAGATCAGGGGGTGAGCATGCTGACTCAGCCCCTCCTCCCCCCCCAAAGAAATTTTCAGGAGCATAAGGATTGTAGCTAGTATTTAAACTCTCATTGAGTCTTCATTTATGAACTGTGAGAATGGAACTGGCTTGAAAATCATTCAGGAGACTTTTGTTTTTCAAATACAGGACCTCAGGTAGTCCAGGTTGGCCTGAATTACCTATGTTGTCAAGAATGACCTTAAACTCTCGATTCTCCTGCCTCCATCGCCTAAGTGCTGAGATTACAGCTGTGTGCCACCACAGCTGGCAACAGAGCCCTTTTTAAAATAGAAGGATAAAATGTAGAGGCCCAAAGAAGGAAAAGGACACATTGAGGGCTCTGGAGAGGGAGAAAGAAAGCTCTGCACTGGGCCATCCTGCCAGGGATGCCCAAGGAGTCGATGAGAACGGGGCAGGGGCCACCATTTGCTATGTTTTTTTTTTTTTCTTGAACATAATCCTTATGGATCTGGTCCTCATTCTGGAGGTAGAATATGTCAAACAAATGCAAGGTGTGACTTGCTAGGTCCACATTACTGAAAGCACAAGTGAGAAGTTACAGTGGGCAAAAATGGTGGGGTCTGGACCCCTCTTTCTTGCCAGACTCAGCCCTCCACAGGGCCCACCAGGTTACTGTGTTCTGCTCCTCAGCCCTCCACAGGACTCACCAGGTTACCATGTACTGTTCCTCAGCCCTCCACAGGACTCACCAGGTTACCATGTACTGTTCCTCAGCCCTCCACAGGACTCACCAGGTTACCATGTACTGTTCCTCAGCCCTCCACAGGACTCACCAGGTTACCATGTACTGTTCCTCAGCCCTCCACAGGGCCCACCAGGTTACCGTGTTCTGCTCCTCAGCCCTCCACAGGACTCACCAGGTTACCATGTACTGTTCCTCAGCCCTCCACAGGACTCACCAGGTTACCATGTACTGTTCCTCAGCCCTCCACAGGGCTCACCAGTTTACCATGTATGGCTCCTCAGCCCTCCACAGGACTCACCAGGTTACCATGTACTGTTCCTCAGCCCTCCACAGGACTCACCAGGTTACCATGTACTGTTCCTCAGCCCTCCACAGGGCTCACCAGTTTACCACGTACTGTTCCTCAGCCCTCCACAGGACTCACCATGTATGGCTCCTCAGCCCTCCACAGAACACACTGGTAGTTACTGTGTACCACTCCACTTAAAAGGGAGCATTTTATAAGCACATGTAGCTCAAGATAGGGCTGTATCTGGTTTTTACCTTTATTAAAAATAGAATTGGGCTGGAGAGATGGCTCAGAGGTTAAGAGCATTGCCTGCTCTACCAAAGGTCCTGAGTTCAATTCCCAGAAACCACATGGTGGCTCACAACCGTCTGTAATGGGGTCTGGTGCCCTCTTCTGGCCTGCAGGCATAGACACAGACAGAATATTGTATACATAATAAATAAATAAAGATTTAAAGAAATAGAATTATTGCCAGGTGGCAGCGGCACTCACTTTTAATCCCAGCACTCAGGAGGCAGGCAGATCTCTGAGTTCGAGGCCATCCTGGTCTACAGAGCCAGTTCCAGGACAGTCAGGGCTACAAAGCGAAATGTCTCAAAAAACAAAACCAATACAACTATTTATTTGGAGTGTGTGGGGAGTGGACACTTGTGTGCCACAAGCATTCGTGTAGCGGTCAGAGGGCAGCTTTCAGCAGTGTGTTCTCTCCTTCCACTACATAGATTTGGGGAACTGAACCAGGGAGCTGGGATTGACTGCAGGAGCCTTATTTGCTGAGAAATTTCAATACCTCAGTTTTTACTTTTGGACATAAAATTGTTATTATCTGATGCCTGAAAGTATATCGTTGTGAATGTATATTCAGAGGCTGGGAACACAGCTCAATGGCAGAATGGATGCTTAGCAGGTAGAAAACTCTGAGGAAACTCCCCAGCAACACACACACACGCATACACACACACAGACACGCACACATAGACACACACATACATACACACACAGACACATACAGACACACAGACACATACAGACACACTCAGACACACACACACATACAGAGACACAAACAGACACACACACACACACACAGACACTCACACATACACCCATACACATAAAGAGCTGAGAACTAAGGGCTGGGAATATGTCTATGGTAGAGCGTTTGCTTAACTTATACCCATAAACCCTGCGTTCAATCCCTGGCATGTATACATTCTCGGTATCACTAGTCCCATATCACTCTTACCTTCGTAGATTCAGGTTCAGTAGAAGAATAGGCCCCGTAAATTTTCAGGACTTCCTCAATTGGGATACTGTTCTGTGAAACAAAAACAATGTGTTGTCATATTGTGGCTTTTTCCTTATTAAAAAACAAAATTACTGCAGCTATAATGGTTCTAGTACAGTGTAAGGTAACACAGCAGCTCAGTAATAACTCCTAGATTATTGTGTAACCAAGTTTTCTCGACATTAATATCTCTTATCTTTTTTTTTTCTTGTCTCCCATAAATATTTTTACACTACGGTATGGAGGCCAAATTTTTACTACATATTTAAAATCACAAATTTTACTATTAGTAAATTCCAGGCATTTAGAATCAATATTGAAAACATGTAAGTATACATTAGTACCAAAATGAGCTTAGAAATCCTGAAATGAAGCTGGGTGTGGCGGTGCACGCCTTTGATTCAAGCACTTGGGAGGCAGAGGCAGGTGGAGTTCTGTGAGTTCAAGGCCAGCCTGGGCTACAGAGTAAGTTCTAGGACAGCTAGGGCTACACAGAGAAACCCTGTCTTGAAAATCAAAATAACAACAAAGAAAAAAACCAGAGTGTCCACATAGACAGTGCTCTTTTCCTCACCATTAAGACTCCGGCGTAAGATGATAAGATCACTGCTTCGCGCTCTTTTCGGTTTGGATACAAGGGTCTGCCGTGAAGTGGCGCTTTCCTAAGGGGAAATATGGATAGAGAAGGTTGGGGTGTGCATGTGTGTATGGAGGACAGAGGCCAGCTTCGGGTGATTCCCCTGGACCCATCCACCTTGGTTTCTGAGTCAGGGTCTCTCCCTGGACCTGGGCTCACCATGTAGGCGAGGCTGCCAACAGACACCAGGGAGCCACATCTTTGCCTCTTTAGGGCTGTGATTATAACTTTATGCCAGCATGCCCGGCATTTTATGTCGGTGCTGGGGATCGAATTGCGCAGTAAGGCTGACTGAGCCATCTGTCTTCCAGGCTCCTATTGTTCTTTTTGATAGCTGCCAAGGTGATACTAATCCGTAGGTAACCAGCCATGGTTGTGGATTATCCACTTTTAAAGTAGGATTAGTATGATTGATTTTCTGTTGATCTCCCAACAAAGTGATGAATTTTTCATTTTTGTCTGTTTTTTACTAAAGCTGTCACAAATGCGGACTGCCCCACGGGGGCCGATTATGGCTTTGCTAGCAGGAGTCCACCCTGCTTCTCATCGTCTGCTTGGGGGAACCTGCCTTACTTTACTGTAAGCTTACCTTTAGGAAGGCTGGGATACCCCTAGATTCTGGGAACGGGTCTGGCCAGTGTGTTCTATGTGCAGACAAATCAGGAAAAGAGACTGGAGGTGGAATCTGGTAGCAGTAGGTGAGGTTTAAAAAAAAAAAAAAAACAGAAACGCATTGTGTGTATGTGCGTGTGTGTGTGTATGTGTGTGTGTGTGAGAGAGAGAGAGAGAGAGAGAGAGAGAGAGAGACAGAGAGAGAGAGACAGAGACAGAGACAGAGACAGAGAGAAAGCTTAGAAGACAATTTGAGGGAATTTGCTCTCTTTCCATCATGTAAGGCCCAGTTATTGAACTCCGATAGTCAATTTATTGGCAAATCCTTTGCCCCTGAAATTTAAATCACTGTGCCTAACAGCCCAGTTCACAAACTTTGAAGATATACAGGCACTCAAACTTGCCTCCCCGACCTTCTCTCCTCTTGATTTCTCATCTCCTCTTTGCTCCTCTGTTAAGGTTGTTCAAACTGGATTTTCTGCTTATTACAGTCAGTTCTTAACTGTGACCTTGAGCCAGGACCGCAGAATAGAACTGGTCTCTGGACTTTGGGATGAGCTATCTGATCACAGACCCTTAGTTCCCTGTTCTGACCAGTTGAATGTGTCTGCTGAATCACTGCACTTAAGGAAAAGGCTGATAAGCTCGGGGAGGAAATGATCGCACAGACTCAAGTACTTAGCTGCTTCCACGCTCCAGAAACCGTGTAAGATGGTCCTTGGGAAGCAATTTCAGGCTCTGCCTACAGAACTAACCATTGAGACTCATAGCTCCTATATAATACAGTGAAGTCATGCTTCTCACAGATAATACAGTGAAGTCACGCTTCTCAGAGAAAGCTTCCCATGCAAGATTATTTTTTTAAACTTGATGGAAACCAATGATAAGAAATACAGACTAGGTGAGCACATCTACCATGTCCTCAAACTGCCCATGGAGTGTGTCTTCAGGCTTCTGGCTGGAGGAGAAGTTTGCCCTGTGTTTCTACATCAGAGAGCCTCATAACAAAACACCGGGTAGGGCTGGACCTTCCTCCATCACATTGTAAAAGGGAAACCCGCCAGGGCTGGGGAGACGGCTCAGTAGGTAAAGAGCTTGTCTTGTACAAGCATGGGCCCTGAGTTTGGAGCCTTTCCTCATCATTCATGTAAAACTCTGAGCAGGTTGACACAGCCTGAATCCTAATGCTGGGGGATGGAGATGGGGCCAGGCGCTCTCTGGAGCTTGCTGGCTAGCTAGGCTTTCCTGTGGTGAGCTCCAGATTCAGTGGGAGACAGATGCTCCTTCAAAACCTAAGATGAAGAGAGACTGAGAAAGACACTGACATTGACCTCTGAGCTCTGCATACACCCACATCCATGCACAGGAAGGTGTGTCCATACCTACCTCCTTACCCACACTAAATAAACAGATAGATTAAAAAGAAAAACATCAAACGCATTTCAACTTACACTTTCTCCCACTGGAGCCAAGTTAAGTCTTCTGAGGGATCTACCCATTGACAAGCAACACTGACGGCCAGGTCATAGTGGGCCTGGAAGCAGGAAACAGAGAGCGGACGGTGTGGGTTCAGATTTTGGCAAAGCGCTTCCCTGGACAATGGCCTCACTAAGCCCCAGCCTCTGTCATGTTCCACTTAGGGAAGATCCTTATTTATAAACAGCCTGATGTTCAGTTAGGGATATTCCAGGACCCAGACATTTACTTTATCTGCCACTAAGCAGTTACATGCTGTGTGTGGTCCAGAAAAGAGAGAACCCTCAACTGGCAGTTGGGGAATGTGGCCTCGCACCGGGCTTGCCAAGGGCTCAGGAATATTCCTGGGTGAGGCACTGATGAGGCTGGGCCTCCCTCTCCTTAGGGCTTAAAAAGGCAAAAGGAGAGAGTGGAGAAAGAAAGCCATAGAGAACATTTGGTAGTCCTGTTTGGTGTTAGACCTGTACTCCCAGGGGACAGAGGAGGTGTGGGACCCTGGAGGAAGGCACTGTGGTGCTCAGCTGTGGAGACAGAAACAATCCTGACTGACTTTCACTGAGGAGGCAGTCTCAGGGCTAGAGCCTTTAGGAAAGGGGGTTTATACAAATGGAGAAGTTCACTCCAGGGGGGCACAGCATGGGCAATGGGCCAGACTGAGAGATAGGTGGAGAGCCTCACACCTGGTACAGAACTGAGGGTCAATTTTTGCACTGACTCTCATCACAGCAAAGACCTTTCTGTAGGTCATCTGTCAGCTCTTACTTAATAAGCGTGTTTACCGCTTAGTGCCAACATTTCCTTTCCATCACCATAGCCAGGAAGGTAAAGGCTGGTCGGGGATTGGTTAAGGTTCTAAACATCTCTAAATAATGTAGTGATGCCCTCAGGGACCTGAGTTAAGTAAAATGTCAACCTAAATAATAAATCAGGGGTTTGGACCACGGTCACCTGGTGACACTTCATCAGGAGCTTGATGTTTGGACCAGTTACATGGTCGTGCTCATTAGAAATAGAAGCACTCGGCCCTACCCTGACCTCCAGAATCAAAATAGCTCTGTAATAAAGCCTCATTAAAGTTTGAGAAGTTCTGCTCTGACCTCTTTAATGCCCTGTGTGGTATGTGCACACAAAGAGGCAGGCTTAACTACAAACCCTGGCTTTACACAGAGGGAAACTGAGGAAAAGAGACTCATCCCTCTCAGCACAAGGATAGATCATGGGCGGGGGGGGGGGGGTGGTAAACTGAGTTTACTGATTTCTTTTGGATTAAATCTCTCTGTAGTTTCTTCTCTAATTTCTGCGTCATGAGCCAGCAGAACGTAACATGAGCCTGAACTCAGTAAGAATAACGAAAAGGATTCTAGGGTCATGTATCACTTTGCCTTACTGTGCTGATGCAAACGATAGTAAGTGATTAGAGTTGAGGACTACCCTATTGCTAGTTCTGACAAGGTCTTTAACACCGTGAGTCAACGTTTTATCTTGCAGTCATTGGTTTAAATTTTTTCCCGCCTAGGTTGATTTTCATGTTCTCTTTTTGCTTTCTATTTGGAGGGTTAAAATGATCATAGGGACAACCTTAGGGTGAGGAAAGCTCAGGGAAGAGGGCCGGGTGCCCACGTGCATGCGCGCGTGTGTGAGTGCGCATGCGCATGCTTGCGCACGTCCGTGCGTGCGCATGCGTTAAGTTACACAGGCATTTGATCCCTGTTCTGGCCCCTTATTACATACAGAACGCAATGGGAGTTGCACCAGCAGGACACTTTACCATCTCATCTAGAAAGGTGAGTTGGCCTCTTCCTTTTGGATCAAATTCATTTTCCCGAAGTCTGATGCCAATATACTCTCCCCTTGAAAGCAAGAGAGCAGCATTGAGCTTTGGGGAATGATACGGGGTTCCGTCTTCAGAAAGAGACTTTCTTCCCAGTCCCTCCCCCACCCTGATAAAAATGCAGCAGAACTCATTGTTGGTCTAGGAGCTGTAACATTCAGTCTTGGCTTGGGGAGTGATCTCCAAAGGCTGCAGGTTTAAAACACCTGATGACAATGAACTTAAATCACATTTATCTTGATACTAAACTCATCGTTGGAAAGCAGGAAGGATGCAAAATGTCAACATATAGAAAAGATTTTTTTTTTTTTTTTTTGTAAGAGGAGGGCTAAGCTCCCCGTATAAAAGATTTCCTGCTGGGCATTATAGTCCATGCCTTTAATCCAAGCAGGAGACAGAAGCAGATGCATCTCCTGTGGGTGTTTATACTCTAAGAAGAGGAGGCTCTAACATAACAGAATATATTTCTGTAATATTTCCCACAGAATGCACCAGCATTTTACATTATACCTGGAGTTAGCATGGTCAGCAAGGAAATTATCTATCTATCTATCATCTGTTTGAGACAGATGATACAGTCATGGCTGTTCTGGAACTCTGTAGATCAAACCAGCCTTGAACTCACAGAGATTGAGCTGTCTCCTCCTCCCATAGTGCTGGGATTGAAGGTGTGCGCCTCTACACCTGCCAGAGTCACCATGCTTAACTACTGTTTGTGTTTTTTTGTTATAATGGCTCCAAACGCGTATGTGTAAACATGAGTGAATTCCATACATGTTTATCTGGCATTTTTTAAAGATTTAGTAGAAGACAGTCATCTTTATAAGCAGACAATGGACATTTGATGGAATCTATTATATGGTCTTCGATGAGAAAAAAATACTAGGATTGTGGCAACAAAACATACAAAATAAAATATGACCTCTTCTTGTTGTATGATCGGTGATTTTTCACCAACATTTTTGAAATACCAAGTTAAAGAAAAACTGAGTGGGATGGGGGAAATTTATGGGAAACTTGATCTTTTCTTTATTAGCCAAGAAAGTTTAGAAGTCAATTTGTTAAGCGTGGCAATAGAAGCTGCAGAGGCTCTGTTTCAATGCCAGGGCCCCAGGGCACATCTAGGCATCTGTATCTTTTGCTAGTAAGTGCTGCCCTTTTCCGTGGTGCATACTGTCCCCCGAGGCTGTGGGGAGCTTGCACATGCACGCTGCTGCAGAAGCATTTGCTCAAGAGATTCTGCATCCTGCCCTGCACCGCATATGCCTGCATGGCAGAGACAGAAACCAGAACGTCTGCTGGCTTTCTCCCGCAGAGCAGCGAGATCCCTCCTTAGCTTCCCGCGCACCCGCCAGTCCCCAGGCCATCTATCTGGGCGATACTCACAGCAGCCTCTTCACCTCCCGCTTTACACGACTCTTTTCCATGGCGGAAGGCCAGGTCTGAGCGGATAGCTTGCACTCCACCTGATAGCCTTTAGGAAGAGCAATTTCTGCAAGCCTAGAAACTACAGCAGCAAATCAGAGAGAATATGAATTAGGAACGCTGTTGCTACAAATACCAGTCATGGAGTCCGAGGCTGTGGAAGGGATCCAAGAGCATTCAGAATTCTGAACTCCCATCCAGCAAGTTCCAACTCAGAAAGGGACCTGGAGGCTAGCCCTGGATCTTGTGCCCATCTGACAGCTTATTCCTTTCACATTTTAATTACAGAAAATTATTAAGTAACTTAATTTTGTGTGTACATACGAGTGCAGGTGCCCATTGCCGAGGCACAAGTGTGGAGGTCGAGGACAAGTCTCGGAAGCTGGCTCTCTCATGATGTCACCCAAGAATGGAACTCAGGTCCTTAGACCTGACTTTAAGTATTTGGCTTAAGTGTGTTTTAAGTATTTTGATCTTCTGAGCCGTCCAGCCTGCCCTCTTTCAAGCTTTTCTCACACTCACTGTGTGCTCACCCTCACACTAATCGCACTAATATTGGAAAACAGGGATGGTTCATGCAGCAGTTGACCAGGCTCTTTGGGCAGAACCACTCATACAGGCTGACTTGTGGTCTGATATTGTGGAAGTGTCCTGTGTACGGTTGACACCGTGAGTCCCAGTGTGTTTGACAGCCCGCCCATGACGGAACTGCCCATGACTTCCCAGAGCTGTCACGGACTGTCACTTGACAGTCCACACAATAGTGGCAAATGTGTCTTCAGTGCTCACCTTGACTTTGAACTAGAAATCAAAGAGAAGGTAATGGAATCAAAGGGGCTCTGAAATCACACATACGCACACTCACACACACATACACACACACACACACAATTGTGAAAAAAATCATTACTATTGAATGAGGAAACTCAGCAACATATGACTAGGAATCAAACCTACCAACATCATTTGTGTTAATTTAAAAAGATTTTAATCACATTGTGATGGCTAATTTGATGACTGAATCACTATTATTAGCTATTTTGTTGCATGCTATGCTGCCCTGGGTGGTGGTGACACATGCGTTTAATCCCAGTACTCGGGAGGCAGAGGCAGGCAGACCTCTGCGTTCAAGGCCAGTCTGGTCTACAGAACTAGTTCCAGGACAGCCATGGCAACCTTTGTCTTAAGAAAAAAAAACAAAAAACAAAAACAAAGAAACAAAAGCAAAACAAACAAACAACAACAAAACGTTATTCTGGATTTTTTTTTGTAAAATTGCTTTCTGGGTGAGATAAACATTTAATTTGATGAACTTTAAAGTAAAGTATATTTCCTTCCAGATGTGAGTGGCCCTACCTAACTGGTTAAAAGCCTTGAATGAACAGGGATTAACCTCTTCTAGCAAGAAGGCAATCTGTCAGCAGACAGCTTAGATTCTAACTGCAACTCTTTCTCGTGTCTCCAGACTCTGCTGGTCTCCTTGATCAAATTCAGACTGACCAAGCCTCTACAATCATGGGAACCAGTTTCTCTAAAACCAGTCTTTCTCCCTCTCTCAGCAATTTTGTGGTAGTTCAGTCGCTGGTTTTAGTACAGACTGCACCTATTCTCTCTCTCCCTCCCTCTCTCCCTCCTCCTCTCCCTCCTCCTCTCTCTCCTTGTTTTGTTTCTCTGGAGAAGATGTAACAAAAATGTGGACAGACTATTTAAATTGTACATGTGATTTACAATCCGTGCGTTAAAGGTAATTGAAAAGAAGGCGTGTTCTTCCTGCCTGTGCTTCTCCTGCAGCCTGTGAGAGGGAGCCAGTGGGGGTGGAGAGGTGGAGGAGCACTGCATGGAGGATGGGTGCATTCCAAAGACACTGCAGTTGCTCTGATCTGGAGAGAGTAGGAGAGAATGCTGCAAGTTAGGAGGCCTCATGGCCTAGGGGAAGAAAAGCCCTGGCCAAGGGAAGCCAGGCACTGGGATGTGGCATCCTCTTTGCAACTGGTTGATATGACCATGGGCAAGCTGCTCGGTGCTCTGGTGTTACAAAAGACAAAAAGCAAAACGAACAACAACAGGTCTAGTTCACTTCTTGCCAGACCTCACCCTGACATTCTATCATTCCATGAAGGCCGAAATGTGCTAAAATTCTTTTAATTTAATAATTTATAAAAGCATAAGTTCATAGGATGTTGTCTTATTTCATTAATAGAAAGTGGGCTCAATTTCTTGGCATGAAGTGGGCTCAATACCGTGGCAGAAGACAGGATCATTAGCTTTGAAGCCTGAATAATGAAAGTCTTAGCACTAACTTTAACCAATTTTCTTTCTTTATTTCTTCCTTCCTTCCTTTCTTTTTTGTTTTTTGAAACATGGTTTCTCTGTGTAACAGTCATGGATGTCCTGGAACTCACTCTGTAGACCAGGCTGGCCTCCAACTCACTGAGATCCACCTGCCTCTGCCTCCTGTGTGCTGGGATTAAAGGCGTGCACCACCATCACCCAGCAATCAATTCTTTCTTACAGCTCTGAGCAGGCCCTTTGATTTTCACACTTAAGAATTACAAATTTGTATCTTTTGATTGGTGCCACAGCCTTCTCTTAACACCCCATCCCAACATGGCATAATCCCTGAAGGTATATCATATATATATAATATTTTAAATAATAAGAATACTAGTGCTTACCACCTCTAGATCATAAGGCAGGGGGTCAGGACCTTGAAAGACCAACTCTCTGTGTCATGTTATGCAAAATAACTTTTTTCTTTTCATTTCTTCATATGTAAAACAACCATTGAATGTGTGCTGAGGTTGGGCTAACTGGAGAGGATCGGTTCCTTTGTCGGCTTCTCCCGGATGAGAGAGAGCCATTTGCATAGGCTTGAATTCAGTTAGACTTGAATTTTGCCTGTCACTCTATTCTGTCTATAGAGCTCCAAAGGAATCAAGACCACTAGCTGGAAACACACAAGAGGGACCCTGCTAAGACGTCGGCTGCCTCACGCTCTAACTCTTACAGACATCAAGTCCACCCCCACCCTTCCCCAAATCACAGCCCTAGAGTTTTAGGAGTCCTGGGCCCTTGGAATATCGGAACATTCTAAGCTGACCCCCTCTCCACAGTCCCGTTTTAGTGTCTACTACGCTATGCTGGCTGCAGGCTCTTACCAGTCCCCAAAATGTCTCACCAACTGGAGCTGACGCAGCGCTTGCTTGCTTCTGCTCTTTCTGGTACCCGCAGGCAGGCTTGGGCATTGGAAGGCTTGAGCTGCTGCTCAAAGTCTTCCTAAACGCAGATGCTTCTGCCTGGTTGCTAGGAAACTGTGCCTGGATGAAAATAGTTTTATAAACATCCTCGTGTCTCCTCCCACGCACATAGTGGAGAGGTCGTATATTTGAGACCAACTGTGGCCCTGGCCTTCAGTTGTTCACGTATCTTTTCACGTGGGTAGGCATAGGTGCACTAGCTGAATAATTAATCAGAAAGCAGAGACGAGGAGGCCACTCCCCCCCCTTTTCATCTTCTCTCTCCTCTCTCTCTTTCCTTCTTTCTTCTTTTCTAAGACAGCATTTGGCTACGATGGAGGAGTCAGCGGACCAGCAAGGATTGCTGGAGAAGCCAGTGGAACTCCAGCTCCTCCATACAGAGTATCCCAAGCAATTTCTTGGGGCGATTCTACCGAATGACTATGAACACAGAGCAGTGAAAAACCAGGGGAGCCACCACCTGGGGACACACTGTCATGTGCTGGTTGGTTTTAGGCCAACTTGACACCAAATAGAGTCATTTGGAAAGAAAGAACCTTAGATGAAGGGTTGCCTTCTTCAGATGGCCTGAAGGCAAGTGTGTAAGGGCATTTTCTTGATTAATGATTGATTTAGGAAGACCCAGCCCCCTGTGGGTGGTGCCGCCCCTGGTCAAGTGGTTCTGGGTTGTATTAGTAAGTAGGTTGAGCAAGTCTTGAGGGGAAGCCAGTAGGGAACATCCCTCCATGGTTTCTGCTTCAGTTCCTGCCTCCAGGTTCCAGCCTTGAGCTCTGCCCCTGGCTTCCTTCCATAACGGACTCTAATTTGCAAGGTATAATAAACTCTTTCCTCTGCAGGTTGGTGATCAGTGTTTGATGACAGTAACAGAAAATCAAAGTAGGACTTGTTCATCTGAACTAGGACATAGTGCACTACGGCTCTCCTGGTGAGTGTGGTCCCCCTGCTTACACACTTGTTCATCTAAACTAGGACATAGTGCACCATGGCTCTCCTGTTGAGTGGTCCCCCTGCTTACACACTCTCCTCCTCTAACCCTCGTTTCCTTGTCGAAAGCTTGTAGAAAATTTCTCTTTGTTCTCCTGATAACACCTAAATGTCTAGTTGGGTATTCTACCCCGGGATTGGGGACATGCTACCAACACCCATTCCTTTGTGTTTATGGTACTGAGAAGGAAACCTGTTCATTCTAGGTAAACACTGTACCCGTGAGCATTATAGCCTCAGCCTACAGACGCTTCTATTAATTGTCACTTTCCTCTTTCTTGGTTATGCAGGGGAGTAAAACATCTTCCCTCATGAATAGCACAGTTCCTGGCTGTGGGCTTCCTGATAACAGACTGAGAAATGATGATAAGAGAAAGGCTGGTATACAGCTAGTATGTTTTATACGACACAAGAGACTTCATGTTGAAATGAAGACCCGAAGAAACTGTATTTCTATGTAGAGTTTTGGAAGAGTGGGCAGAGATTCCATGATCGTGCAGTGATTCACTGGTAGACGTAAACCAAGCCTGCTTGCCCTGGTGCTTCTCTGCTCCTGTGTCACTGGCTCTCCTCCGGATCCGAGAGGCACCTCTCACCTGTGAAGTCAGGCTCTACTTCCAGCAAGGATTGGCTGCTCTTGCTTGCTTTGGGGAGAAGGCAACAGTGACCATCCTGTTGCTATTGCTTCCTCAAATGCCCATGTGCCAGGGTCCTCATTTCCCTGAAGAGTCCCATGTCACATTAAAGCTTACAGTAAAAAAATTGTTTGTTTTCTTATTTTTGTTTTATGAGAGGGGCGTAGGATTGGTACAGAATAGATAACCTCTCTTACAACTGTATGGTTGTGTTTTAAGCATTTGAATATGGTGTGCATGTGATAGGGCACCACACACCCATGTGTTCATGCCCTCAGCATATAGCAAACCATTATATATGAATGGAACATTTTTTCACGAAAGGATATAATTTTATAAACTTCTCTGTGGACTGAAAAGACCAAACATTCCAGGGTAATAAGGAGAAATAAGCCTGCTCTAGGATTTAGACATGTCTGGGCACATCAGGACCAGTCTGGAGGATTAGAGACTGTTGGAGCATCCAGTTTCTATTTGCATCAGTGATTCCGGACTTGGCTGTGTGTTCCACCTGAGGGACTTTAAAAACTCCTAGAACCATTACTTTTGAATCCCTGAGGGTGAGATCAAGTCATCATATTTCTTAAATTTCCCCAAGTGCTCTGATGTACAAAGAAGGTTGACAATCGTGGATGCATGTGGGGGACTGGGGACATCCAGGGGTAGGGACTTCATCACTACACAACTGCACAATCCTTCAGCTGGGAGACTGGGGACATCCAGGGGTAGGGACTTCATCACTACACAACTGCACTGTCCTTCAGCTGGGAGACTGGGGAGCATCCAGGAGTAGGGACTTCATCACTACACAACTGCACTACCCTTCAGCTGGGAGACTGAGGAGCATCTAGAGGTAGGGACTTCATCACTACACAACTGCACTATCCTTCAGCTGGGAGACTGGCGACATCCAGGGGTAGGGACTTCATCACTACACAACTGCACTGTTCTTAAGCTGGGAAAGTGCTCTTCATTTCCTAAAAGAGATGATGAATGATGGGAGACAAGGCTGTCACTGAAACATCTTAGAAGTGACCCCTTCCCCATGTTTAAAAAATTAAAATATAATTATATCATTTCTTCTCTTCCTACTCCTTCCATGCCTCCTCCCTCATGATTTAATGCCCCCTTTCTTTGTTTTGCACGCGCACACACACACACACACACACACACGCGCGCGCTCTGTTTAGTGTTACTTGTATGTATATGATTTGGTACTGGATAACCAATTACCAGTTAGAGGGCTCCTCCCGAGGGAAGAATATTTCTCCTGCTCTCTGTATTCCTTACCTGCCTGTAGTTCTTTGTTTACTGGTGGGGGCCCCATGAGTTCTCCTCTTCCATGTTAGCGTGTCTGGCAATGTTGCACTGCTTCAGATCTTGTCTCAGTATCGTAGTATTGAGGTATCGTGGCTGAAGCTACTCTGCCATTACTAGGAGACACAATCCCACATCGTATTTCCTGGTCCTCAGGCTCTTACACTATTTCTGTCCCCTTTCTCATGGCGTTCTCTGAGTCCTAAAGTTCAGGAGTTGTACTGTAGATGTATTCACTGGGGCTGGGAACCCTATGATCAATTTCGTCTTTGCATTTTGACCAGTTTTGGTTTCCTGTGATGGTTTCCATCTGCTGCAAAGAGAAGGTTTTTGTTTGTTTATGTGTTTGCTTTCACACTCGTGTGTGTGTGTGTGTGTGTGTGTGTGTGTGAGAGAGAGAGAGAGAGAGAGAGAGAGAGAGAGAGAGAGAGAGAGAGAGAGAGAAGTATTTAGAATGCAGCTAGGAATTATGTGGGTTTAGTAGTGGCAGAAAGTTCTCGTCTAAGGTCAATGACCTCACTAGTCTGTTGAGAATATTAGTTGAAGATGTATTACATTCGTTTATACTGTGAAATATTTGTTTAATGATGCAAAGATGTGTTGCATTCTTTTATGTTACATTTGTTTAATTCTGTGAAACTGTGCTACTTTGCCTGTCTAACACCTGATTGGTCTAATAACAGAGCTGAAGAGCCAATAGCTGGACAGGAGAGATAAATGGTGGGTCTGGCCTGCAGAGAGAATAAACAGAGAAGAGAGGAGCAAAGGAGGAACAAGAAAGAGAAGGAGAGGAGGAATCAGCAGTCAGTCATCCACACAGCCAGCCATGGAGTAAGAAGTAAAGAAAGATAAATAGAGTAGAGAGATGTAAAAGCCCAGAGCCTAAAGGTAGATGAGATAATTTAAGAAAAACTGACTAGAAACAAGCCAAGCTAAAGCTAGGCATTTATAAGAAAGAATAAGGTTCTGTGTTTTCATTTGGGAGCTTGGTGGCAGGCCCCCAAAAGAGTTGGAAAAAAAAAAAGAAATCAAATTAAAAAACCAATCAACTACATCAGCCCCAGGTAGTTGGCTAGATTTCTAGTACCAAGCACAATTCCCTTCCTATCAAGTGAGTCTTAAGTCCAATTAGACAACTGTTGATTACCATCAAGATATGAATCCTTAGAATATCTTGCCTTGCTGGCCATTGTTGTGAGTCATAGGTGATACAGCTGGGTAATCTTATTGGTTGCCTCCTTCCATTGGCAGCTTGCATAGAACCTTCTGGTAATGTGAAAACTAGTCCTCAGGGAGGAGGCTCTCAGGCCAGAGCCAGCTGGAATCCTGAGTCTTGCACCTAAAGTGCAGCAACAGAGGCTTCTAGGAGACAACCAAAGCAACAGCAGCAGAGGCTTCTTTAAACTGCTTCCAACCTCTGGGAGACAACCAAAGCAACAGCAATAGCCTGTACTGTTTGGGGAGTCTCTTGGACAACCTTGACCTACAACTTGAAAGGGGGTAATTCATGCCTGATAGTGGGATTTCTGTTAGATAGTCTATGGTTCTTGGAGTGGAGCGCTGTCCATGCAAATGGGATGACTTCATTTAAAAATTACACACACACACACACACACACACACACGCACACTGGAATGTGTTACTTGTAATTTTAGATAAATAAAGAGTAACATGATTCCTTAACCTTTTCAGACATCCTCAGTGTTATTTTCCCTCTTTCTTCCCCTTCCTTTTGCAAAATTTCCATTTCTCTTCTCCAGTAAAAGCCACCCCGTTTTTCCTTATTTCCCCCTATATACTAAGTTCTTTTTGTTTGTTTGGTTTGGTTTCTTGTAACAGGGTTTTTCTGTATAACCCTAGCTGTCCTAGAACTCACTCTGTAGACCATGCTGGCCTTGAACTTACAGAGATCCATCTGCCTCTGTCTCCAGATTGGTGGTATTAAAGGTGTACATCACCACCACCCAACTCATACACTAAGTTCTTAAAAGTAGGATTTTCATTTTATTTTTAAAGTAAAAAACTTCAGACTACAGACATGTCTCAGTCAGTTCAGTGCCTGACATTCAAGCATGTGGAGTTTGATCTCCAGTATCCACATAAAAACTGGGTGTGTAATTCCAACACTGGGGAGGCAGAGACAGGAGGACCTATGTGGCTGGCCTGGCAGCCAGCCTAGCCAAATTGGTGAGATCTGTGTTCAATGAGCGATCCTGTGTCAAAAGATAAGGTGGGGGAATGGTAGGATGACTCAGCAGATGAGAGGGATCGCCACTGGTCCTGATGAGCGCAGGCCCTGGAACCCACAGTAGCAGAGAATTCACTCTCAAAAGTTGTGCTCTGATTCCCACACACACTGTGGCACCTGTGCCCCCACGCTTACACTTTTGCACACACCGCACACAAATATAGTAAATAAAAATTTTAAAATAAGGTGAAGAGCAAATGAGGGAGAAACCTCAATTGGTGCCGACCTCTGGACTTACATTCATACACACATGTGTGTACATACATGATCATGTTCACAGACACACAAATAAATGACTTGTTCTTAGGTAAGAAAACAATGATAACTCTTAAAGCAGGGTCTTCCAATTCTTCCAACAGAATTAGTAAATCCATTTTCTAAAGTCCTTTTGTCATTTGTTGTTTAAGGAAGGTATTTGCAATGGATGATTGTCCTCTAGGTTGCCTGAGAAACAAGATCCGACTTGTTCCTGCTGTTGCTATGTTTTGAAAACGTCAGTGACCATAAGGAGACGTGTTAGCCATCTTCTCTGCATGCCTCTTGAAGACACGCTCCTTGTCTCACTTACTGATTGCTTGTTTCAGCTCTCACGCACATATAAATGGTGTCAAGTGTAAGGTGAATGTAAGTGGGACCAGTGGACCCACACCCTGTCCCTTTTCCCTCCTCCCCACTGCAGGATAGATTTAGCTCATTAGATATACCAGCTATTAAAATACTGAAGGTAGAAATGTGATGTTGTAGAAAAATGGATGCTTTAAAATATCACCTATTGAATTTAAATAAAAATGCACTTGCTGATATAGAAAATGAAATTTAAACTAGTTTTATCACCTTTAATAGAAGACTGTGGTTTTCCTTTCTCTACCAGCTGGTCTGGCTGTAGGGGGAGTGTGGGGTAGGGAGGAAAACTTGGGCTATTCAAGGAGACAGATATTCAAGCACCTGAGTTGGAATCATAGAATCATAGGTTATGAGCATCAGAAGGGATTTGGATTGTCTTTCCCTTGACACAGACAGATAAGAAAGAGAAGTCCCCAAGTCCACAAGTGAGGCAGAGGCCAGAGGCTTCCTGACTGAGGGCTGGGGAAATAGGATGTAGAAGTATAGCTGTCATTATCTCTACAGTTCTGGAGGCCCCATTGCTAGAGCATGAATCAGCTTCATAGTGAGCTACTAAACAAGGATAAATGTCTTGTTCTAAGTATTTGGTTGGTGGAACTTTTGGAAAATAAATCCCTCTTGTAGCCTGTGGAGAGAAAAAAAATCTCATTGATATTACTCCAAATGCTTTGCTTTGTCGTGTGTGAGAAGAATGAGAAAGGGAGCAAGGAAATACAGGTTAGAGTTTTTGCAGATTATTCTTCTGTGTCAGTCTGGGGAAAACGTACCTAACTGGTATATTCTTAGTGGCAAGTGTCTGAAGAAATCCAAGTTCCCAAGTCAGCTCATGCTTTGCTCAAGGACATTTTCTCTTTTCAAAGCCATTTTCCTGGGAAACATCACACTAGACCGTTACACATTCTCTATTTGACAGTCTCCTTTT